CTAATATTTTCAAGAAGTTCAGAAATATTGAAAATGCAAATTTTTTATGATTTAAATGATTTTGCAGGATGTCAAGAATTGTAAGTCACCTGTGATACAATACAAGCATATTATGCCACTAGGCAAAAACTTATATGTTAAAACGTTTTTTAATTTTAACTCTAGATCACTGCCTTGTAGTAATTCTACAAGTTTTATTTGAGCTAGTGAGGTGACACTTGAGAGTATTTAAGATTTGAGAGTCCCATGCGAGCGTAGTATAGTGGTTAGCGTGCGTGACTTCGGTGCGTGAATATTCGGTTAGGCGTGGGTTCGTACCCCCAAGCGTTAGGATTTTTCAAATGTGTATGTAATAAAAATTGCGTTTAACTGTATAAAAAAATGTGAAAGTGAACTATCAATGAATTGTCATCAGTACTTATCTTTTGCAATTAGTTATTTTTTTATTAATATTTGTTGATGTTGAAATTATCAATATTGAATGAAATAATTTTCATACTTGATTCAAATAATTATTTATTACATTAAAATATTCGATTTATTTGATTAAAATAATTTGAATTTGATTTAAATAAATAGTTATTTAATACAATTAAATAAAATATTCGGGTCAAATAAATATATATTTGAGTTGAAAATATTTTGAAGTTGATTCAAATAATCATTTATTAGATTCAAATATTTTATTTATTTGATTTGAATTAGTTGTATTTGATTCAAATAAATAGTTATTTGATACAATTAAATAAAATATTCGGGTCAAATAAATATATATTTGAGTTGAATATATTTTGAATTTGATTCAAATAATCATTTATTAGATTCAAATATTCTATTTATTTGATTTGAATTAGTTGTATTTGATTCAAATAAACAATTATTTGGTGCGATAATATAAAATATTTAGTTCAAATATTTATGTATTTGGTTCAAATACACATTTATTGGATTACAACCAAATAAATAATTTATTTGAATCAAATAATTTTTATTTGATTCAAATAATTTTTTTTTTCAGTGTAGAAGAAAAAAGAAAATTGAATGTATAAGGCGAAAATATAAATATGCAACAAAACAGAAATATCGATTTGAAAGGCTATTTCATCATTATGAAGGACAGTTAAAGAAAACGCAGGAAGAGATGGCCACTTTCAATAATGCTTCTTTGAAAAAATATTTGAAGAATATGAATATTCCATCGAATTAAATTCTTGTCATTTCAGAAATATTGGAATGTTCAAAACGAAAAAATAACAAAGATAATCGATATTCGGAATACTGGATTCTCTTATGTTTATTGTTACATATGAGATCGCCAGCTTAATTTATTTTAATTTATTTATTTTTGTTTACTTTTTATATTTTTCTTTCAGGCCAGCAGAAATTGTTAATATGAATATTATGATAGATAATGAGTCTTTAGAAAAAATAAACAATACTGCATTTGTTGCTAAAGCAGAAAAATTTGATTTTGCACTTAGAAACGCAATAAACATAATTGTTTCATACGATATGGGTTAGAGCTAACGTGGCAATGGCAAGCATTTTGTTAATGATTTATTTAAATTGCAAGCAGAATTCAAGGAAATAAAAAAGGAGTAATTTCACATTTAAAAAAATGCTTTTGTTTTGCTATTTCTCAAAATAAAGGTTAACCGAAAAAACTGTCGGAGACATTGATAAAAATACTGGAACATATATATTTCTGGTGAACATAATGATTGCGGAAATTGGTGTTCTCAAAAATCAGATCAAAATATAAAAGCAAATAAAATATTATTAAAGGACTTACAGCTGCGCGATAAATTGAGAATTATTTGTACTAAATATGCAAATAATTCAGATAAATTTTCTACAGCAGCTTCAAGTTAGGGAAAACGAAAGTTTAAATAATATTATCGCCAATAATATGGTGCAGGCATCGTAGATTAATAGTGGTTTCATTTTTCATGTTTTCACATTACAAAAGTTTTTAAATGCGTTTTTCACAAAATGACTTTTTCAAATCGGAGGACAGTCTGGCTCAAACAATTTTGATCGGATTGACCTCGGACAAAGTGCTTTTTGTTCGTCATTTACTAATGCTTTAGAGTACGTAGCCGATTTTCTTTTCGTTTTTTTTTGACAATAGATTTTTTGAAGAATTTTCGCCCTAAAAATCGACTTTTTTCTTCAAACAGCTGCCAAATACACAAAAATTAATATTTTTAAAATATCTTACGTACTCTAAAGCTAAATCTATCACAGATTCAAAAAAACTTTGAATTTTTTATTTAGATTAAACGGTCTAGTCGGAATCTTGTCCACCGATTTGCTCTGCAGAGAAACGAGACCAACTTTGGCGCCCTCTATAGGCAACAAAAAGTGCCATTTAATCCTTATTTTTTTCAAAAATACTCAAAAAATACAAAAAGTTTAGAAATTAATTTTTTAGATCCAATTTTAGTTGTGATATTGATTTTTCCAGGTCACCTAAGGTATACAAAACTTGTTCCCGATAGTTCTAGTTTGCAAGTATGCTTTGCATTTTAAGATTTTTTGTTTTTTTTTAATTCAAAATGGCGCCTGAAAATAAAAAACTTTTCAAAATTTAACAAGATGGACAAAATTTTCAAAACTTGTTGAATTCGCTTGAAACTTGTTACTCGAAAGTTTTTGGGGTCGCTGATTACGAATCTGAATTCAGATTTAAAAAATTTAAAATGGCAGACGCAATGTAGTGTACATATTGAAATATAAATATGTGACGCTCCACGAGAAAAAGGACCTTATTTACTCTTGTCATAAGGTCCCTTTTCTCGTGGAGCGTCACAATGTTGTAAAAAATATACGATAAATGCCCTTAGCCTTTGAGTATTCAAAGTTTTCCGATTCTTACCGCGAGAAGGTGGACGAGATGGGGAATTATATTTTTATTTTTAAGGTTTTTAATTTTTTTTTGTTTTTACATTTATTTTGCTTAATTTATAATGTTTTTTTGTACTTTGAAAATGTGACTTCAGATTCGTAATCAGCGACCCCAAAAACCACCGAGTAACGAGTTTCAATCGAATTCGGTCGATTTTTAATTTTCATGTCCGCCATATTGGATCCGCCATTTTGTATTTTGAAAAACTAACATGGGATTTGTAATCAGCGACCCCAAAAACCCCCAAGTAACAAGTTTCAAGCGAAATCAACAACTTTTGAAAATTTTGTCCATCCTGTGTTAAATTTTGAAAAAAGTTTTATTTTCAGGCGTCATTTTGAATTAAAAAAAAAACAAAAAATCTTAATACGCAAAGCATACTTTTAAACTAGAACTATCGGGAACACGTTTTGTATACCTTAGGTGACCTGGAAAAATCAATATCACAACTAAAATTGGATCCAAAAAAATTACTTTCCAAAATTTTGTATTTTTTGAGTATTTTTGAAAAAAATATTAAGAGCTTGAAATCGAAGTTAAAAATCAGCACATTTGGTCGTTAAAAGAGTCAAGTTAAAAATTCTTGGTTAATATATGTTTTTAATTTTAACATTGACAGATCAATTTGCGTAAAAAAAAAATTTTGTTGAATTTTATAAAAAAAATTCATTTTCTTCAAAAAATTTTTTATGTTGAATTTTGAAGGTTATATCTATACAATAAAATTTTATTCTTTGCATCAAGACTAATCGATTGGTCTATATATTTGGTATACCTATATAGTATAAATTAAATTGAAAATGTATAGAATTAATCAGAAGATAAACGAATTTTTAAAGTTAATGTAACTTAAAATAAAGTTTTATTATCAAAATATAGTAATGTTGCATTACCAATTTGTAAATGCTTACATTCTAATTGTCCCAATTTGTGTAAACACGCGTGTACCAATTAGTGCACTTTCAAATATTTTAGTCAATTTATTAATTTATTGTAATAATTTAACATTATTATTTTTAAATCGTTAAATTATTAACTATATAGGGTTATAAAGTGTGATGTTTTGAATTTTTTTTATAAATTACAAAACTTAGAACTCAAAAAACCCCAATTAATATTAATGCTTTATTGACTAAAGAAACAACACTCACGTAGACAATGACCATTTTATCTATGATTTAATACTTAAAAAGTCTGTTTATTTGAAAGTTAACAATATTTTCGAAAAATTCGAGTACGTATTAAGGTGGTTTAAAGTAGTAATTACTTTTATATAATGTAAAAATTGTATTGTTTATAAATAATTTTTATTACTCGTACACGAATAGGAGCATATGCAATTTGTGTGTACCGATTTGTATTTTTCATGTATACGCTAGAATACACTTACCTTTACACGCTCCAGCTGTTGAAAAAGGTAAATTAGTATCAAATTTCATAAATACTCACTTTAATTTATAAAAATATAGTTTTTTTGCTCCGTCAAACTTTAAAATGTTAATCTGACAAATGACACAAGATGGCGAAATGTTTTTCCTGATTGCTTGCGGATGGCAAAAGGCTATAATTATTAATTTTTTTAATTAAATTATTTAAACTTTTGTTGTTATGAATTACCGTTTTTATAAAAAAATACTTTACACAAAAAGAATTAATTACTTGCAACACTATATTTAATTGATTTCTATTTAAATTTGCACATATATGCGCAAATGTTCATAAATCGGTACGCGTTCACAAATTGGGACATATACCTTAAGTTTATTAAAATTGGCATCATGAGGCAAAGCCGACCTTGAGACGATGCTTTGATTCAACTAAATTCCTTTATAATTTTTGTTTAACAATAATAAAATGTTACAATAAAATTTTTATATTTTATGTAAAAATGTTTGTTCTTTAATTTATAGTTGAAAAAAATGAAAATAATTTGTATATATACATTGTTGAGAATCCTAAAAAACTCTTTTTTTTCAATTGGCTATTTTGCCAAAAATTCTATAGCCGAAAATGTTTACTTGGTCAGCTTTACCCCGCACTGTATCCTATCAGCTGTTGAGAAAAAATGTTGAATAAATAAATTTATAATTACCTGTGTTTATGAAAGATAATTAAAATAACTGCTGAATTTGACACTATCATAATTAAAACTTCAGAAACATTAAGTGCCCAGTCCTGTCCGGTTACATTATCCAAAAATATATCAGGAAGAGGATCGTAAATGTTTCTGTCTGGTACTCTGTCATGAACCATGGCCAGAGATACAGTTGTAAAAACAAAATTTACAGCCATAAATAAAAATGCTGAAATAAGTTATTAAAATTATTATGGTTTTGTAGATCCACTTCTTGTCTATCATGTGAATAGGAAACAGTTGCATTGTTTGCTGGGTAACACTTAACATATTCGTAAAATTAGTAAAGCTTACCAGTGAAGGTTTTCCATTTTTCTTTAGGAAATCTAGATTCTTCTCTCAAAGGAGCCGGTATATCTAATTTAACAATGCCACTGTTCAAAATATTTGGTACTCCAGAGTTAAGTCCTTCCTGACTCAATTCATCAATTTTATCGTGGTTAAAATAATTGGAAGTAGAACCCAATGCTCCCCACTTGTCCTTATTTTTTGATGATGTACCAGGTAGCAAAGGCTGTCTTTGATAAACATCACTCGATTGAGCCATTTCACTACGTCTTCCATCAACAACAGTGTTGTCGCTTTCAATAATTATTTCCCCAAACGGTTTATTAAAACTTCCGTAATCACTGTGTAAAGTTGAAGTCTTTGAATCTAATATCATCCTAGAAAATAAAACAAATTAAATTAATATTTTCTAATAAAGTTTTACTTTTCTATTAATCTACTTCTAAAATAAATAACACAGCCCCACAAATAAAAATTTCTTATCCGCCGAATATCTTTTAATACATAAAAGATTGACAATCAAAGTTTTACAGTTTTAGTATTTTTTTATTTTTATTTTTTTATTTATTTTTTTTTTCATTTGCCTAAAAATAAACTGAAAATTCAAACCAAAATTTATAATTAAGCGAATGATGGGAAGAAGAACTCGTCTATAGCGCGTGACCGCTAAAGAATTTCTTCAGTTTTACCGTTTAATGAAAAAACTTTACTATAATAACTAAAATAACTTTGTCTCTGAAGTATTTTTGTCAGATAATTGTATCAAAACCAATTAATTCAAATACATTTAATGTACATGAAACACACTTCTGGCAAACAATCGTCATACAATTAAGTATTAATAAATCACTAAAGCGTTCCAGAATACACGAATTAAACATACTTAATTGTGTTTGCAAACATTCAATTAACACTGAGCAAACCCTATATGAAACACTATTCAAACATGATTTGCCCACAATATTTTCGACAGAGCAGAGTTTTTACTTTTTATAATTATCAATCGTTTTATTTATAATGCTGGTTTATTTATAAACTTACACGGAGAAAAAGGAATAGTTGACACATCCAGATACGTGGATATCACAGCCATATTATATTGAAAAATACGGGATATCCATAGTTAAGGTTGCTGCCCAGTGAGAAATTTCTCACCGGTCCAATATCGGTCCAATATTGGGAGCCAAGAGACCGATCATCGGTCCAATAAAGGCTCCCAATATTGGACCAATATGGGCTGATGCTTGGGATGTAACGGCATCGCCAATCATCGGTTGTCAATATTGGTCCAATATTGGCCGAATATTGGCAACCAAGAGAAAAAAATTTTTTAAATAAATTTTTTTAATTAAATAATAATAATAAAAATTAATGTTTATAATTTTTGTTTAATATATTTATTTGTTTAATTACTTATTTTTAATAATTCATGTAAATAATAAATAATTTATTATTTATAAATTATAATTATTTAAAAATGCAGCAGCTATTAGGAAATAGCATTCTGCAAAAAAATTCTATCATTGAAAAATCAATGATAGGCGAGAGAAATCCGCGTCATTAAACGGATTCGCAGATATACTCTGGTCTCGCGACGAATCTCTCGATACTTATATACACTGGAGTCGCCGTGTCAGTTGCGAGAACGGTTACAGCGTCCCTCTTTCGGCAGAGATAAGAATTGTCACGTAAACTGCTAAATCGCTTTACCGACCGCCTTATTATACCCGCAGTTTACGTGACAATTCTTATCTCTGCCGCAAGAGGGACGCTGTAACCGTTCTCGCAACTGACACGGCGACTCCAGTGTATATAAGTATCGAGAGATTCGTCGCGAGACCAGAGTATATCTGCGAATCCGTTTAATGACGCGGATATCTCTTGTCTATCATCTGCGAATCTATTTAAAGACGCGGATTTCTCTCGCCTATCATTGATTTTTCAATGATAGAATTTTTTTGCAGAATGCTATTTTCTAATAGCTGCTGCATTTTTAAATAATTATAATTTATAAATAATAAATTATTTATTATTTACATGAATTATTAAAAATAAATAATTAATCAAATAAATATATTAAACAAAAATTATAAACATTAATTTTTTATTATTATTATTTAATTAAAAAAAATTTATTTAAAAAAATTTTTTTCTCTTGGTTGCCAATATTCGGCCAATATTGGACCAATATTGACAACCGATGATTGGCGATGCCGTTACATCCCAAGCATCAGCCCATATTGGTCCAATATTGGGAGTCAATCGGCGCCCAGCACGGCAACCAATATTGGACCGATATTGGACCGATTAAAGTCTATTGGCAATTTCTCACTGGGTGCATCCATATTCTATGGCTGGCTGTATATTGTTGGAGCAGCAAAAGATCTATGGTTGGGTGATCCATAATAATGGAAATGGGAAAAAAAATTGGAATCACTCAATTAATTAAATTCAATGTCACTTGAGATATTTTATACACATTTTTGTTAATTAATACACACCACTTATTGAATAACCGCATATTAACGAAATAAATTATTAACCGATGAGGGGAGACACGAACCCTAGACCTAACGCATACTAAACACTAACGCTATCCACTACACTATACACGCAACTACAATATTTGAGCATATAATATTCCTTATATACTCTACACATATTTCATGAAAATGAATTTACATAAACACTAATAGACAATAACGATAATAAATAATAAACAATTATAACACTATTTATACACAATAAACTCACAACGTGATTATATAGACGTGACAGGAAACCGACGCGACGGACAAATTGAGACGAGCATTTTTAAATGGATGCCATGATAATGAATTGCGCGCAACATGTATCGAAATTTTGAACTAACTATATGGATCTCCCAACTAAAGTTTATATGGATGAGGCAGCCATATGTGAAAATCCATAGCATGAATTGTAAGCCCAACCATGCCTATGGATGTCGCTTCCATATTTGATTCAACAATATAATATGGCTCCCTCATCCATTGAATATGGAATGTGCTTTCATTCTGAAAGTTGTCTCTTCCATTGAATTGGATAACACAACAATATTCTGCTCAACAATATTTTTATGGATATCTCTTCCAGACCTTTTCTTTCCGTGTAGGTCAATAAATGTAGGTACAAATTTATTTATTTATTTATTTATTTAACAGGCAAAAAAAGCCCTTAAATACATATAAGTACAAAAAGAAAAACTATATAATCGTAGACACTAGTATTGTAGTATTATTGCTCTCAATTTACTAATAAATTTCGTGCTTGAGGCAAATATAATAAAGTCATACTTTTTGATGGTTTAAACGATAAAAATTTGTAATAAATAAAAAATTCAAATTCTAAGACACATCTTTTTAAAGTTAATTAAATAGTGAACACTTTTCAGTATGAAAATTAATATTTTTTTAATTGTGAAAAAGTTATAAGCTTTTAAAATCTGTCCCTTAGGGGAGCGTGGGGTAATGGGAGCTTGGGGGTAATGGGAGCTTTTAAATTTCACGCACTTAAAAGCCTTAAAATTCGCTGCAATGTCTAGAAAATCTTCTACAATCTTTGTTTATATCATTCCAAAACAGACGATCACATTCTTGACAAATTTTTAGTAAAGACAAGGGAAAATGTATTTTTTGAGTTTTCGTTGTAAAATGCCAAATATTTCTAAACATCACCATAAGTAGTTAAAATCGTATTATTTAGTTCTGTTTTTTCATTATATTATAGGTGAATATGTGTGGATATGTATACTTGTATAAAAATCGAGATAATAATAAAATTTGTTTATGTTTTTATTTTTTTATTCAAATTTTGTCCTGTAAAAATTCTGTGGGGTAATGGGAGAATTAGTGTCAGACTAAAGAATTTTCGTTACTATGTTGTGAATTTCGTTATTTCTTTGAAAATTGTAAAAGATATCACCTTATGAAAAAACTTTTAATTAAAAAATAATTTTTGGTGGGAAAAATGAAAAATTTAATTTTTTTTCAAAAATTTTTTATTCAATTATAATTTAGGAAAAAAATTATTCTAAGTTTAAAGTTTTGGCTTCATTGTAAGTATTAACACTTTTTCCTATTAGAAAACAAAAAATATTCCTAAAATATAGAAATTTTTTAAATTTCAAGTGAAAGCTCCCATTACCCCACAAATTAGGTGATCGCAAAAAATGTATTTTTTTTTTTGAAAATTTTTTTTTCCAATTTACTTTCTCTTTTTCAGTTTCTAATTAAACATAATTAAAGATGAATAACGAAATGAGTAGAAAATGACAAAACAATGTATTATTGTAAAGATAAGTTGGTTTTTTTAATAACTTTCCTTAAGGGGCTCCAATTCCCCCACGCTCCCCTACTTTTAACCTTTTTGATCCTCATCGTAATATTTCTTTAATAATAAGCCACACACTTAATAAGTTACATATCAATATTTATTTTAAGATTATTTTACACACAAAAAGGATCCAAAACAAAGAATTTTGATAAAAGATAAGATGCGAGAGAAAAGAAAAAAAGGGAAAAGAAATTGTAAAGTTTACGAATGTTAAATTTAAATAGAATTGGGGAAAAAGTGCGGCAAAGCGAAATCTCGATATAAAAAATACTAAATTTTAAAAAAAACTTATGTGGATTTAGTATAATTATATCAAATATTCAGAATATTAATTAAATTCTAATATAACTTTACTGAATTTCACATCAGTTATTTTTTAAAGTTTAGTATGGTTCTTAAAGTTTATTTAGACAACAGGGCTGATAAAAATCATGATTTTTTTAAAAATCTAAACAATCGAGTTTTTTTTATTTAAATCATTTTTTTTTTAAATTTTTATTTTTAAATAGTTGGTTATTTAATACTTAAAATTATAAAATTAATAATAATATAGTGACTGCAAAATTTCATTTTCAGAATACCCTGACTTTAGCTGACTAATTTTTTATTTTCCCTAATTAACAAATTTTTAAATTATTTAATATTCTGTATCGATAATTAAAAATGCAATTTAATGATTTTTTAATAACAATTTTATTTATAAAAAAAAAAAGATAATTAAAAATTGTTTGTTAAAAAAATTTTATAATTAAATTAAATTATAATCAAGATTATAACAGGCTTAAATTTTATTTGATAACATTTAGAAATGACGTGGGTGAAAAGTTCACAACGTTTGTCATCAACGATTTCAAGAAAAAAAAATTGTTTTTTAATTATAAAAAATATTTTACGTTTACAAAATATTCTTTTTTTTAACTTTTTGTTTAAGAAACATTGTAAAAGTTGTATTAAAACATAATAATTAATAGTTTTTGTTTATTTGACAGAAGAAATTAAAAGATGAAAAATCAGTATTTTATAT